AGTGGAAAAAGCTCCAAAATGGGTCTTCATATTTCGGATGATGGAATCATAAGACTTGGAGATAGAATTTGTGTTCCATATGATGAAGGGTTGAGGACGGACTTGCTCCAAGAAGCACACAAGTCCAATTGTACCATTCATCCTGGAGTACCAAAATGTATCATGACTTGAAAGAGACATTCTGGTGGAAAAGCATGAAGAAGGATGTGGCTGAATATGTGTCCAAATGCTTGACTTGTCAAGTGGTAAAAGTAGAGCACCAGAAGCCAGAAGGGCAACTTCAACCTTTGCCTATACTGGAGTGGAAGTGGGAAGCCATCTCAATGGACTTCATTGTGGGATTGTCGAAGATGAGAAGGCAATTTGATGCAATTTGGGTGATTGCGGACAGATTAACAAAGTCAGCTCACTTTTTGGCCATAAAACAAAAAGACCCATTAAACAAGTTGGCCAAGCTTTATGTTCAGGAGATTGTTAGACTCCATGGGGTCCTAGTGAGCATTGTATCAGACAGAGATCCAAGGTTTACTGCAAGATTTTGGAGATCTTTCCAGAAAGCCATGGGAACTCAATTGAAATTAAGCACAGCATACCACCCACAAACCGATGGGCAATCTAAGAGGACTATTCAAGTGCTCGAAGACATGCTAAGAGCTTGTGCATTAGATTTGCCTGAGAGTTGGGATGATCATCTTCCATTGGCAGAGTTTGCTTATAATAATAGCTATCATTCCAGTATCAAAATGGCACCTTATGAGGCTCTTTATGGCAGGAGATGTAGAACTCCAATTTGTTGGGCAGAAGTTGGTTATGGAAGAGTAATAGGACCTGATTTTGTGCAGCAAACAACAGAAAAGGTGAAATTAATTCAGCAAAGGCTTAAAGTGGCTCAAAACAGACAAAAGAGTTATGCAGATAATAGAAGGAGACCTTTGGAATTTGAAGTTTGAGATCATGTATTTTTGAAGGTGTCACCAACTAAGGGAGTATATCGGTTTGGTTTGAAAGGAAAACTCAGTCCGAGGTACATTGGCCCGTTTGAGATTCTTGAAAGGGTAGGTGAAGTGGCTTATAGAATTGCATTGCCTCCAGAATTGTCAAATGTGCATAATGTATTTCATGTGTCGGTTTTGAGGAAGTATGAGCCGGATCCTTCACATGTCATAAACTATGAACCATTAGAGTTGAAGGAAGATTTGAGCTACACTGAACAGCCAATACAGATTTTGGATAGGAAAGAAAAAGTTTTGAGGAACAAGATTGTGTCCTTAGTGAAAGTGTTGTGGCGGCATCATTCTGAGAATGAAGCTACCTGGGAACTTGAAAGTCATATGAGGGGGCAGTATCCAAATCTATTTTGGTAAGCTAAAGGATTTGGTGGGCCAAATCCTTTTAAGGTGGGGAGGATGTAACACCCCACATACCTTAGTGAATAATTTAAAAATTAGTGTCCTTTAGTTTATAGTTTTAGGGA